TTGTGAAACCTTAACAGAATGTCTGACAACCAGAATCAAACGACCACACACCCTCCCTGGGTGGTTTATGGGGGACAGGGAAGGAAAGACCAGCCAGTCAGTAAGAGCCAATCTTTCCTGCTGGCTCTTCAACACCTCACTCAAACAGCAGGGCTCCTTTAAAACATGTGGTAGCAGCTACTGTTTTGTGTGTAAAGGGTAAACTGCGGAGTTAACCAATCCTAGTGACAATCGCTCTCCGTCTGCTGGCCTGATATTGTTGCTCCACGATCTGGGAAATCTCTGTGCAGGGTGAGGCTGGGAGTGGTTTCGCTATGTCCTTGTGACAGCTTGGTCGGTTCCGAATTGCGTATAGGCACGTGTTGTGGACGTACAGTGGATTTGGACAGGCACATCTGTCACATCTGGTACTATGGAGCCTAATGCTCTGGAGGATTTTTTGAGCGATGTAATCGCATAACTTGTTGTTTTGTTTGTCAGTATTCCATTGTTTGACCATGTATTCCACCTATTATTTCCGGGTCCATGAGACACACAGAATTACAGGCAGGACCATGCATTCTTATATGTTGTATGTAGTCCTGTCATTTTTAGGCTTTTACCTCACTTCATGGTAACCTTCGTAAGCCCCTCTGATGATGCTGTCATGGCGAAACCTGTCATAGACGCTGTGTTTGGTTTGGTATTATTATTTTACAGGATTTACAATATAAGGAAGACATTCCAATTACAATACAATTCAAGACAAGATGGTAAGGAGGAATTGTTTGAGAATGTGATAGTCCAGTGGTTAGGTTGAGGTCCTGTCTGTAGCCATACGTTTTTTCCATTTCCACCCTGTATGTTGGATTTCTGGTTGAAATGATGAACTTCATTACCAGGACATCATCACCAAGTCCTATCGTGTAATGGTGGAATATTACTGTCTATTGCTGTTATAACTTTTTTAAAGTGGCAGGTGAATACCACCAAGAAGGCATCACATTTGTTATGAAGTACCTTTGCAAAATTGTATATGCAAGTTCAGCCAATGTGGCCGTTCTACTATATCTATTGCTGTGCTATATATTACATCTACGTTTAAAGTGACACTAAACTTAGGAGCTAAATCTTATAAGTACGTTCAAGTACCCTAACTAATAACAAAAATGTATCTTATTTGTGGATCACTCAGCTGTAGATCCTCAAATCATCTCTGAATTCATAGTGACTACAATCTCACGTTTTGTTTACTAATTTGTATTGCGATTGTAGTCCATCACAGGAGTGAGCTTGGAGTGGTGACTACTTTACAACACACACAGGGACCATGGGGAATAAAAGCAACCACCCTCCTGAATGAAGGACAGTGTCAGCACCAATTTAGAAATGATTTGAAGATCTACTAGTGGTATTTGAACTTCTATAGGGCTTTAAAGACAATCACTGTGGATTACATTTAAACTCGTAGGTGACATTGCCTTCTACTGGACACACAGCACACAACTTTATCTTGGCTGATCTTTGGCTACAGTGGCATTTTGGTGTGTTAAGGGATAGTTCCCCAGATCAGCACTTCTCAACCACAACACACTTTAAAAAGTATGCAAACTCTTGAAGCACTCCAGTCTAAAATGTAAAATGCAGTCGCTCCAAAATCCATACCAGAACCTTATCCAATATAAGGGTCCGGTATGGATTTTTAAAGGGGGAACCCAGGCAAAACACAAAAAAATGTGGGGTTCTCCACTCTGCATGAGAGTCTCCTCTTGACCTTAGGACCCCCTTTAGGCCCCCCTCTTTCACTTCAGAACCCCTTTACACTAAGGGTGCCCCACATTAGTGTCCCCCTTGTTCACATCAATGTGAAAGTGTGCTTGTACTTATTGTACCAGCAGTGCTGTTTTTTGTTATAGAAGTGATCTAGCATAGCAGTTCCATTCTGGGGACTATACCTGCAATAGACAAGAGACATGACCTAGCACCTTATGGTGCCTGTTTGGCAGTAAATGTATTTCACATCCTACCCTGCATTCCATTTTGGCAAAAAACAAATAATTGGGGGTGTGGCTACCACTTGAGCAATATGGCCACATAACCTCTCTGCTCTGGTTTGCTGCTAGGCAGACTTCACTAAATTGCCACAGACTGACGTCCCTCCCTGAGCATCGGCAGATCCGATCATCATGACCCGTAAGAGAAAAGACGGGTCTAGACCACAGAAACTGACAGAGTTTTTTCCCTCCTCAGTCCTGCGGCGTGTCCAAGATGGCAGCGGCTTCCGCTCTTCAGCTTCTTCTTCCTCCTCACCTCGGGATCAGGGAGCTTCTCTGGGCGATCCACCTCTGACACACATCTACTCCAGGCTCTGCATCTCCTGCCTCGTCACACACTGGGGGTCCTGCAAAATCCAAACCCTGGATGTCTAATGATCACATTAGCACCACGGAGGTGAGTCCATGAAACACCTTACTTGATAATACTAGGGAACTCAACAGATCCAATAAATGTTTCCCTACTTCTAATCAGCCTGTTTTGGACACCTCTATCAAAGATATGTTAATATCTCTAGGTAGTGCTATTGACACTGATATAGTGACATTGGTGCAACAACTCAGATCCGAAGTCCATGCTGTGGGCTCTAGAGTGGACCACGTAGAGCATAACATTGGAGAATTTGCCTCCACCATTAACTAGCTTATTGACTCTCATGACCAGACTGTTGATTATGTGCACTGGCTGAAAATGAAACTAGCGGACCTTGAAGATCAGTCACGCCACAACAATGTTAAGATTCACGGTGTCCCTCAATCAGTCTTGCAATCTGAGCTCCTTCATTATGCTTCAGTTAATACGTGCTATCCTTCCTGACATGTCTGCCTCTGATCTCATTATAGATAGAATCCACAGGATAGCAAAACCATTTCTTCCTGACAAGACGCCGCACGATGTGCTTATGCGCATACACTTCTTTCATGTTAAGGAACGTTTCTTGCTTCAAGCGTTTCTCTAGACTACACTTCTTTCCGGACTTATTACAAACTACCCTCAACCTCCGAAAGTAAATGGCACTAATATTGCCTACGGCTGGGGCTACCCTACAAAGATCATTGTGAACAACAGCGGATCTACACACATCAGCTCTTCATTGGAGGCCGCTACCAACATATTTCGCTTGTGGAACGTCGCTCCAGAGGATACTCCGCCTAGATCCTCTACTACTCCTGGAAAAAATTCCTTGGATTGGCAACGTGTTCCCAAAAATCGTGCACGCAAGACTTGATCTAACGGTCGTTCACCGGTCTACTTTTCTTGTTCCTATCCTCTCCTCAGTGAGCTGCAATTTTATAGTGCAGCCCTAGCACTTAGAATTACCAGGCAGAAAAGATGTCCTATAACCAAGTGGGAAGCTACCCAATTCCATCCTATGGTGCAAAAACACATGAAATCTAGGTTTTCCCTACACAGCTGAAGACCTTTTGTGTTTGACCTTCCAGCATGGAGGGGTCTTCAGCTAGAGGGGTACATAATACCAAATCCTTCTGGCCGCCTGCAATTTTTTTTTATCCCACTGTAGTACTAACAGGCCCAACCTACATGAGTGGCAACTCTGCTCAGAATTTGCCCAGCAAAGTATTCCTTACATTCTTTCCCAACCACTTAGTCGTCATGCTTTCAAATATAGCTGGCTCCAACTCTCAGCTCAGCTTCCCTGAACTTCCTGTCTCGTATAAGATCACAAGGGAGAACACAGTCTCCAGCAGTTCTCCATCTACCATGGAGAAGGGTGAAGGAAGGAGGGAAGAAGGTGGAGCAGAGGGGAGGGGAGATTCTTGCCTTGCTGTGTCTTTCTGGAGACACACACAAGGATGGCTCTATAAGGCCCTGCAAGGGAAAGGGGCCACCCTAAAACAGTATAGGAGGACCAGTGCTCAGGGGACCAGCTGATTCTGCAGTAAACAAACTTTTAAACATCAAGAAGCAGCATCCATTGTAAGCGATTTCATCAGCATTTATCCAGTTAAATCTTAAATAAGGTTTATTTATACATGTTACATACTGACAACATGATTAATGCATTTATACACAAGCATATTGAAAAACCTAAAACACACACACACGGAAATGAGAAATGACAGAATCACATACTTCTATATATTGCATCATTAGCAGAAATGTGCTGGATGTGTTCTGTACAACATTGTTGGGCGAGTGGGAGCTGGTAGAAAAGAAATTCTGTACTTTAAAATGTATTTCCACTTTCACAGCCAAATTGGGACATCTATTTTATATTTGTTACTTGTTCCCAATCACATAGCTTAGGCTAAGGAAAAATAAAAAAAATGTTTAAATACCTTTTACTTGGCTTAGGGTTTTAAGGGTTAAAATGTGTTTTCTTTTATTTCTTTGAAATGTTAGGAGGGGCTGAGAGGGGAATGAGCTGACTTGTACCTTTGTATGTTAGAGGACTATGGGGTTAAGGCTTTTCCCCATAGTTCTCCTTAGGGTAACGGGAGGAAACAAACTAGCGTCCTCCCGTCATCGTAAGCTCAGTATACCGCGAGCTACAGCTCACGGTATACCGAGACGCCGCAGCTGAAGCGGATCCCGACAATTATGCCTGGATCCGCCCAGCTGCGCGAGTGACAGCTGGCTCTGCCTATCTAGAGGCAGAACCAGCTGTACTCGCCCCCTCCGCCAGTCAGCGCTAGCAGATCGGGGAGGGGGGAATCCAGCCCCTCTCCTGTCACGGCAGAGAGCTGTGACAGGATCGAGAGGTGAGCGAACGCCGGTATGTGTTCGCTCACTTCTCGATCTACTGAGCCGACCTGTGACAGTCTCATTGTCACATGTCGGCTAGAACTATGAGGCGAGTGAAAAGCACTCGCCTCATAGTTCTCCTTTAATGATACTTATCAGATAAACACAATCCTCAAAATTAAGTCCCAAGACTTTCCATTAGGACAGATCACTGTGAAAGAGCTAAGAAAAACCTGAAAATCAGCCATTTTGCCTGATTCAATATATACAACTGGATGTTTGAAGTAAGCAGTTCACTTCACTCTAATAAATTAACCCCAATATGTTGCAACTTACACCATGCAACATTTACTTATATAACATACGGGATTTGTTACCAATCTCAGGTAAGGAAATGCACAGCAACATTTTTCTTGCCTTGCTTTAAGCAATTATTCACTACAGTACACTAACAAGCACCAGATTCCCTGGTCTATCCCATTAAGTGAATCGGTATTCTAAAGCACTGCACCACACAATAATAGTCAGTAATCAAAATGTACAATTTTATGTAGGCATATAATCAGTCTCCGTCAAACAGCATTGACTTACCCTCATGGATATATTAATGCTACAGTAATAAATGGTCCATGTGATACTTAAATCACAGACATGACATAATACACAAATAATAGTCCTGTTTTATGCACCATCAAATTAATCTGATGTCACATATTCCAAAAATGTGTGCTACAGGGTGACAGCCTTCAATATCCCTCTCATAACTTTGTAACTGATCAGCTGCTGGTTTTCCTTTGGTGGGTAACAAGGTCCTCGTTCTGTCACATAGGAGTAAGGGAATCGCAAAACCCATAACCCGTCAGCTGGCAGTGTGATGTCCTGCTTCTCAGGAAAGAAAATAGGACAGGGAGGAGATCCGGTTTGCACCTAAAAACAATAAAAAGAATATATCAATAAATGTATCTATTTCAAATATATTTTAAAGAACTCCAGAAAAAAAAAATGAACCTCTGCAGTGGGGATACCCCGCACTGCAAGGGTTAAATGCCCATTTCTGTCTAGGTGTGAAAATAAAGTTATATTCACCTGAACCTCGGCGCTGGCTGTTAAGTGCTTCCTCCAGCCTGACTCCTCCTTTACTGCAGCGATGGTATGTCCCTGTGCGTCTTTACCGGGTTTCCCCGAAAGTAAGACCTACCCCGAAAATAAGACCTAGTGCTATCTTCGGGGATTTCTGTAATATAAGACCTACCCCGAAAATAAGACCTAGTTCGGGGGAGGTCTTATATTACAGACATCCCTGAAGATAGCGCTAGATCTTACCTTCGGGGTAGCTGCACATGTAATTCAATTTTACATGTAAAGACCGGCCGCAGCTCCCTCCTGTTTCTGTTTGTGGCTCCCTGGACGGCAGAGCAGACAGCAGCAGCCAGGTAAGACATCCCCCGAAAATAAGACCTAGTGTCTTTTTTCGTGAAAAAAAATAAATAAGACACTGTCTTATTTTCGGGGGAAACACGGTATGTCCATTACACAGTGTATAGGACGTGATGACTCAGGGAACTTAGACCTCTGCAGTGGAGGGGGAGGGGGAGAGAGAGACTGGAAGGACCGCTCTGGCACCCGGCTCGGAGGATCGGGTGAGTAACTTTTTTTTATTTTCACACCTGGACAAAAATGAGCAGTTACCCCTGGCTGTGCAGGGGTGGCACCACTATATGGGTTAAGAAAATGTTTCCCCGGAGTTCTTCAGGCAACATGTGAAATAAATCTGTATGCTATTGTTATCCAGCAAATGTGATAGAAAGTTCACTCAGAGTATCTTAATTCGTCTAATTCCCTGCTGCAAGAATCCAAAGAGAACCTCACAAGGTTACTAGAATTATGCTGTGTAAAATTATCTTTGTTTACTGTATAGCTAATTAAACTTGTAAAGAAGATATGAATCAGATTGGTAGCCATGAGAGACTTCTTAGTACTGTCTTTTGTTAGTATGGGAGACACACCAAGGCGTCTTGACCAGGTGTGTGGTGAATTTCTATCCTGTATTTCATGCAATCTTGGGTCACAAGATTGCTGACAAAAGTGAACAGGGTGGATGGGCGCATTGCAGATAAGCCACGGTGCCTGTATGCATCTCAAGGTGTAAATTACATTTTGAGTGAAGTGTGTACTTTCCACACATATCCTAGTGATGTACCCTCCCCCTACTTTAAAAATACTTCATAAAGCAAAATTGCCATCGATATTATGCTACAGAATACCCAACCAACAGATCTTGTCCCTGACAAGCAGAAGGTAATTGAGGTTCTAGCATTTGTGTATTAATGCTGATATACATTCAGAAGTGATCAGTAATGGGTAATCAGAACTACAATTTGGCTTGTATAGCTATAGTACACTTTAATCGGATTACTACGAGTAAACAATTGTGTTAACCCCTTCGTGACTGACGACGTACAGTGTACGTCGCCAGCATCGGGGCTGTTTAAACAGACTCCCGGCGACTTTTGCCGCCGGGACTCTGTTTAAACTTTGTTTACATCCATCTGACCTGCTTCTAAACAGCATCTACCTGCTTTTGCATTCTCACTGACTTGTATGGGGAGGGAAGCAGTCTTAAAGCAAGCAAAAGCCTGTTCACACATGCCTTAACAATACAGCCTATTATGTGAAATAAAATCCTGTTCCCTATCTCTATCTATCCTGTTCCCTACTGCACCTATCAAAGTCAAGTGACCTGAAATCACCACCTATGATACCCCAGGAACATGTTAGAAATGTTAGTGGCATCCGTGATGTAGAAGCATGTCTGTGAGAAAGATGTAAAGGAGCATAGCCTTGTGTACAGATAACTATGCTATAATAAAGTTTGGTATATTTCAGGTCATATCTCTCAGTGTGATGAAGAAAAGCATAATTGTAACAGCAGTATGGAAAAAAAAACCCGAGATATTATATATTACCTGAGGCGTCATTGTAACTTGTAAAGGTGCATCAGGAACAACAACAAATAGTCTCATGAGCTGTGCATAATGAGGCTTAAGTCCCCGTCCTTGTGACGGTGATAGAATATACAAAGGCATGTCACTGTTAAGGGCTTTAACTGCTGATTCTTTAGGTCCATTGCCTAATACTTTCATTATTTTATCAGGCCCTGAGCACATAAATCTGCGACCTCTGGAGTCCTCATATTCAAAACCCACAAATGCTCTTGCAATATCATCTCTTCTACGGCCTCTTCCCATTGCTACTCCACTTCGTTTTCCAGGGACAGACTTATTCGGAGCTGGCCATGAATTTGTGTCTAGATCACCTTCATCTTCAGGCTTTGTACGGATTACAATGTCCCAAGGCATCAAATAATTTGTCCCAGGAATAAAACCAAGTTGATCTAATCCAGTGTGGAAATTGTATGATTTTGCAGGACCAAGCTTTACTAGTGACCAGCTGGAAAATTTAGGAAGGAGACCTTTTAGACAGTTTGAGTGCATCATACCAGGGAGATATTCCACGGTGGATACTTGACGGTCCACCAAACTTGGCCTCTTTTCCCCTTTGTCTTCCGAACCTTCCCGTGGAGCCTCTCCATTTTCTGCCGCGGCTTGAGGTTCAGCTGGATATGTTCCCAAACTATCACTGGACTGACCCAGGCTGAGAGCCAGACTTAAGCTAGTACTTTCACCTTGTGTTTGAGGTTCTTTATCTTTTAGCTTCTCTGTTTCTACTTCAACCTCTGCAGAAGTAAAAGAAGTTTCATTCTTTGCGGGTGCAGGGTCAGGCGTGCTAGGCTGGAATATTGGGAAGTTAATATGATCTAGCTTTCCACAGCACTTCTCTTCTAGCATCTATAAAAAAGAAAAAAAAATGAATGCACCAACCTAAACCATAGCATAAAAACAGCACACCAAAATCAAAAGCAGTGGCATAATACTTAATAAAGATACTTTACCAATTATTTAAAGATATGTACAAATGGTTCCCCTTTAAGCTATACCATTGGTTTGAAACATAATTATTTGACCAACAAGGAAAAGTCACCGGTTCTTCCTTTATCTTAAAGAACCTGGCACATTGCATTACTGATTATTCACTTTTGTGTTATTTTATGTTTAAAAAGAGAACAGCAATTTCTATCTCCTGTCAGCGGCAGTAAAGGGTTCTTGCACACATTCTGCTTTGTACGCACTTTAGCACTCCCTTTCTGCTCTACTCCTCAGAGATCCACATTCTCCTCCCTGCTTTCCTTTTCATAACAGGACCACAGGTTTCCTTTTAGCATCGCTAAAGGATTTTGAAAGACAAAGACTAGAAGCAGTGGCCATGGGGTTCTAGAAGACAAAGCCTAAGGGCAGTGGCCATGGGGTTCTGGAAGACAAAGCCTAGAAGCAGTGGCTATGGGGTTCTGGAAGACAAAGCCTAGAAGCAGTGGCCATGGGGTCCTAGGAGAAAAAAAACCTAGAAACAGTGGCCATGGGATTCTTGAAGACAAAGCCTAGTAGTATCCATGGGGTCCTAGAAGACAAAAACAGTGGCTAAACAATTAGTTTAACAACAATAAGAGCACGCACAGTACCTGATAAAAATCATAATTGGCACTTTTTATGTCGAATGGGTCCTCACGAGGTGCCTGTTTTCTCCCACAGTTACAGTTTCCAGTTGACCTTGCACGACTATTGTGATACAGTATAGGGGGGTTTCTATCAGGTTCAATTTTCTCTCCTAAAATTTTAAAAGGAAAAAACATCAGATATAAAACAGTTGATATAACCTGGACAAAGCTAAATAAAACCTGACTGAATACAGTCCAATCTATATCTAATGACGGAGGCCAGTCAGGAAGTGAACCCGACTCCGACTTCTGCTAAGAAAGGCAATTCGTTTTGTCAGACTGCACTACACATGGCACCTGTGGAGCCTGCAAGTACCAGTAAGAGCCTTCAAATTATCCCAATGTCGTTGTGGAGCCCCTTCAGTAGATCCAGTAGACTCAGTTTTTCAACTGGATCTACTGTTCATTTAGGTCCTAGAATTTGACAGCAAAATGACGGGGGGTGGGCTTTGCAACAGATATGATGGGGCTTAAGAGTCAACTTCGTTGCTGAGACTTGGGACCCAAGTCACTTAACAGGGGCACCAACTGATTTGAAGACAAAGGTACATGCAGGAACCACAACACTTCGCCATTGCTTTTATCGGAGAATAGGAGGAGGAGGTATCCTGTTGGCAAATAACTGGGATAAAATAGGGAAAGGTAAGAGCAGTCAGGTTTATTTATTCTCTTTTAGGTGACTAACCTTAATAGAGGAGGTGGATCTCCAATGTGGAGACACAGACAATAAAAAGACTTGACCCCACTATATCCAAAACCAAAAAAAGTGTTAGGGTTAGATACAGGTTAAGCCCTAAGTGAAGCTGCAAAAGACAGTGCTAAATTTCTTTTTCTGCACATGCCCCCTCTGCTCTGCCACCAGTACCACAACTCTGAAACAGAGAGAGAACAACTTGCAGCTATAAAAATCCGAAAATTAATTTCAGTGCTGTTAGAATTAAATCTCAAACTGCAAAGCAATATGTGAGATATTAGCTTAAGGGGCCCACATGTAGAAAGGGGGCTGTGAGTGGAAAGATAAACATGCTTATTGCATCAACAATTGCAAAACGTCCAATAACTACAATAAACCAGAACAGTTATTGAAGCTGAAGTATAATCTGCTTATAGTTTGCCTTCCCTGGCTCCCCCCACAACATGCAAATTACATTTCTAAATAAAACCTTCCAGTTTTCATTCCATACTTTATTTTACACCCGGTAATGTAATCAATAGGTCTCTGTGCTTCGCTGTGCATTCATGCAATGCAGGCAGAGAAAGGCTGCAGATGAGGGGACATCAGGGTGCTGTACATAGTTTCCTGAAACAATCACAGCATTCTGCCTCATTACTCCTCTCAATGGCCCTCAGTCCTGCCTAATGCAGTGGGCTGGCTCCTGGGAGGAGTTAAGCAAATATCAAAAATGCCTTACTGGGAGGATGTCACCTGGAGGAATGGGTAATCCTAGGCAGACCACATTTATATGCAGACTGCCCTAGGTAATGCCCACATGTGATGCTGAGATTCGACAATTGAATGAAAGAGGCGGGCCAGGGACAATTAGGGTGGGGAGGAAAGAGTTGGATGATGGGTTTTTTTCTACATTTACAGGGTTATTCACAGGAGGGAGAAGTGAACAATCCAAGACAACAGAACTGGAAAGTGAGCTGAATTGGAGACTTTTTCCAATTCACCTATGTTGCCCTGGATTGTTCACTTCTCCTGCCTTCTCCAAACTCTTCACCCTTTTGTGAATAACCCTGTTAGTCCTGCTTTGTTAGACTTATTTTTGTATCATGACAAGTAGATTGAGCCCCCACTTTAGTCCTTGGATAAGTTGTTTTTTAAAAACATTTCCACACCACTGTGTATGCGTGACCTGGATGTACTTACCTGGTTTTGGCAACAAGTGAAATTTGTGCACACAGTGCTGATCTGTTAGACTCCTCTCTTCACAAAGCTGATGGCCACTGCTCCAGAATTTATAACAGTCTTCATTAAGGTGTATAGCATACTTCTGAAAAGCTGGGCCACGGGCATGCTGGCTATATACCCTCAATGCCTGTGCCAGTTGATTCTTATGGACAGTGGTAGTGTAATTATGTGGCAGATTGGACTGGTAAGCACTGTGTGCCAAAGGAAGTGCTTTTTGGCACCTGTTTTCGGAAAACTTTGTGTCAGCATCCAAATAGCCTTCTAGCACTTTCATGTTGGCCAATAGCTTTGGAGGATAGCCGCCTGGGAAAGCAGGAGGATCATCATCTTTATTCTCTATGATGACTTCGTACAATTTCAGGGCCACATTAGCCCATTTGTGATAGGTAGGCAGCTCGAAGTGAGAGGGCTGTGGGTTCCTGCCCACACTGTCATCAAAGCCCTTCTTGGTGAGTACCAGCTCCACATGCTGGAAGAGGAACTCGCTAAGTGTGCAGTCCACCAGCTGCCCAGACACACTAGCACTGCTCTCCGCGGTAAAGGACAGCTGCTGCCGGCTGTGCCTCATCATCTGGAAGCGCCGGGGCCCCGAGATCGGCATCGCTATGCCGGAAGAGTCTGTGTCCTTGACTGTGCAGTGATGTCTCAGGCCCTCCAGTAACATCCCAATGGGGTCGTCATCCTGGTCGGCCACAATGTAGACGAAGGCCTGGTTGGCCGGCACGGTGAACAGGCAGTTGATGCTCTGATTGGTGAGGACGCGGCTCTTCCGGAAAATACGGTAGATCTGGTCCTCGAGGGCGTGCTGGAGCCTCCTCTTGGGCGAGTGCTTCTTGGGCTTACCGTCCACGGCCGCCTGGCCACCTCCGCGGCTGCTGGGTTCCACCCCTCGTAAGGCTCCGTTTAGCTGAAAGACAAAGAGCAGCCGGGGAGGGCAGGGCCGGGCATTCAGCTTCCACTCCAGCCCCACAGGGCACTCTTTGAGCGCCGGCTTGAGGGACGGCAGCAGCTTCTGGCGGACGCTGTCCAGGGCGCGGAAGAGCTTCTCATAGGCGATGTCAAAGCAGCAGGTGGGATGTACCAGCAGCAGGAGGTGGGACACACAGAACAGGTAGAGGACATGCATGCAGTACAGCTTCTCCTCATCCTTCCAGAACTCGTGCGCCTCTGCATGAGGCACCCCACGCCCCAGCTCTTCGCACGCCCGGGCCAGCTGAGCCGTGTCACTGATGCCAGTCAGCAGCACGTACAGCACCCGGGACTCCTGCTCGTAGTACGTCTGGAAGAGGCTGCGCTCCCGGGCCTGTTCCGGCGGCCGGTGGAAGAGGGGGAACACATGCCGGTCACACAGAGAGTTCACCAGGCAGCCCTTGTCCCAGGCGCCCTGCAGCAGCGCCGTCTTCCCGAATATCCCCACCACGCACACCTCGTCATCCTTCCAGGCAGGCTCCGAGCTTAGCAGCTCCCGCAACAAGGACGGGCCGCCCGATGGCATCTTCATGGCCCTCTCTCTTCGCGGGGTTGCCTGGGGGAACTTTTTGGGCAGTGAACTGTCAGGTGCACTGATCTAAACTATCCGACCGGAAACATTCAGGCTGGTCCTTCCTCAAGCGTCTCATGCAGCGTCAAGATTTGTGTAGTGCTCCCTCTGCAGTCCGGCGGGAGAACTGCACACTTTTGCAATGTTGCACTGGTAAGTGAAGTGTACTATGAAAGGAATTGTTCAAAATTGGAGCCGACACAATCTGGAGCAGTTGCACATGGTAACCAATCAGCTTCTCTCTTCGGTTTGTTGAGACAAGCTTTGAAAATTAAAGATAGAATCTCAGATTCTGTCTGTTCCAGTTTTGATAAATTCCCCTCAATGTGTACAGTCCTTTTAGATCCCTGCACAGCACTGCGCTGCTGTTCATCGACTTGCAGCAGCATCCAGTGATAAAATGCAGCATGTTTTGCATCTTGTTGCAGCATACTTCCCATCACACCTGCATGTCAATGGGACCCACAGAAAACAATTGTCCCATTCACACAACGGCGGTGTGATTGGTGATGCGGTGCGATAAGATGCAAACGTGATGTATTTTATGGTACTGCACTGGATGCTAACACAGCTTGCTGCACAACATCCATCATTGCTTCCCTGATTTCCTATCCACTTCTCTCTTCTTTCTTTCTCCTCCTTCCCTGCCTTCACTTATTCACCTCTTTTCTCATCTCTGCACTGCATTTATTCTCTCCCTTTTCTACCCTCCACCCCTTTCCTTCTACCCATTCTTTCTATTCTTCATTTCCCGCCATCAACTTTGCTTCCTTCTATTCCTCCCTCTCTCCATCTCTTCCCTTCACTTCTTTCTTTTTCCCTTCTTACCTTTTTTTTTTCTTTCTTTTTCCTTTCTTTACCTCCTTTTCTTCACTGTTCCCTTTTATATCTTCTTTCTTTCTACATATTACCCCCACCCTTTCTTTCTTCTCTTGCTTATATCATTTCCTTCGTTCTATTCCTCCATTTTTCACCACCATTTCTACTCTTCATCTATCCCACTTTAAAAAAAAATAAAAATCTATCCCACTTCCTTTCTTGTCTTCCACTAATTCTCCTCTCATCTCTCCACATTGGACAAAACTGAATATGTTGTATTGGTAACTCCGAGCAGTTAAAAACGTAACCCTTGCAGTGGGGCTTCCCATGCACTGCAAGGGATAAATGCTTATTTTGGTCTAGGGTGCAAAAAAAAAGATATACTCACCCAAACCTTGGTCCTGCGGTCCCTCTCCCTCTCTGGCTGTGGTATGTCCCTCAGCGTCCTCACATCTAACGCAAGTCAATTGAGTTGTATTGCACATGAGGACGTAAATGGGGCTTAAACCGCGAGCCCAGAGAAGAAGAGGTTGTGGGGACTGGTCTAGCAAACAGGCAGGATTGAGGTTCGGGTGAGTATATGTTTTTTTATTTTACACCCTAGACCTAACTGAGCACACAGCCCTTGCAGAGTGGCGGTAGCCCCACTGCAAGGATTATATTTTTTAACTGCCCTTTAAATTATTTCCCGTTTAGCATCTCCTTCCCCTTCCTCCTTCCCCCTGTCTTAATTGCTTCTTGCTATTTTCACATCATGTCTTCCTTTCCTCTTTCTTCCTCACCTTATTTTCTTTTCTCCCCCTCACATCCCTCCACTTTTAATTCCTTTTTACTAGGGCTGTGGAAATTAAAGATTAATTTCTCGATGAATCGTTAAACTTTTTGATCGACTAAAATAATTTTGATCGCTAATGAAAACACTCACCTCTGCGCCGGCTTCCGGGGGTCCCGTCTTACTACTTTTGCTTTTCTTCTTTCTTTTACTCCTTTGATTCCTTCCATTCCCTTCCTCCTTTTCCATTAGCTTCCCTACCTTCCTTTCCATTCTTCCATCCTTCCAGCGCATTCTTTTTTTAATTAAATTTGTCATCAGAATAACAATAAATGCTGAAATAACATACATCATGCTTGAAAGGTTGGAATCAGGTGATTTACAGAGAAAGGACAAAAAGTCAATTAGCCATTTTTATTTTGTTTGAAAAAATATACTTTATTTTATATAAAAAACAAGATACTATTTTGGGGTACATTCCACCACATATGAACACAGCACATTCACAAAAATAAATTACATTCGCTCAGCAGCATGATGTGTAGCACAAGACAAGGGTCCTGGGCCCTCCATTTTACCTTGTACTAAATATGTTGTCTGTATGGATCCTCCAGAAATACTTTGCGGTGCAATGTCCGACATGCAGTGCCGGAGAAAAACCCCATGTTCCACAAATCCTACATGGCACCTCAATAAAAAACAACTTCTATAGTATACAATGAACTCCCCATCATCTTGCATTTAAGCAACCAGCACTCTCAAGCAACCCAAAAAAGAAACAATCCAGGACATATGTCCTCCAAATTTTTTTTTTTTCTCTTTTGTTTTGTTTTTTTGCCGGTGGCTTGATGCACCTGAAAATGTTGGTTGCTTGGTGCACACTAAAAAAATGTTGGTTGCTAAAATAAAAATGGGTGGTTTTTGGCAGTCAAACAAGCCATAGCCCAGGCCTGGAAAAAAAAAACTATTTTGTTTCCTTTGTCAAAATGCGAGGCATGATTGACTTCTTTTTCATTAATGAGAAACTATCCAGTTTACTTTTGGATTCACAGAAGAGATTTATGAAAGTCTGGAATTCGTGGACAACATATACCCATCCTTCTATTCCTCCAGAGAATCTCACATTCCTATGAGCTTTTTTGTTTTCGTGAAGCTTAGCCTGGGTGGTCCAGGTGCTGCTCCCTACTCCCTATTCTTCTTCTGGCTCCTTGCTTCTTTTTATACCTTTTTTTTTCTAATTTTTTCTTCTTCTTCATACTTCTGATAGTATGTTATGTCTTCTTCCGCACACCTAGTTGAGGCGGGTTTGAGTTACTTGTCTACTCACTCCCTTTTAGGACAAAGACATTTTTAAACACTTTTTTTTGTACACTAACCCTATTGGTATTACATAGGGGACTAACAAGCACCCTGTGTAATAGCAGATAGGGTGTGACAGGTCCTCTTTATGGAGGCATCAGGGGTCTTTTAGACCCCTAATGTCACCTAGAGACCCCAAACAAGCTGAGGAAGCCGACATCTGCTTTCCCAGCTTCTTGTCCTGGCTCTGAGAGCCGGAGACTGTGTACAGTGACACCGGAAGTCATGTAATACACAGCACTTCCGCATCCAGTGATCGAAGGAGAGATCAGCGGCTGGAAGCGGCTGAATCTCTCTCTGATCATTGCGGGGAGACCCACCGACCCAGTGGCCGCTGCGGGGGTACCACACGGTACAAACGATCCGGCGGCTGTTCATACTCCAGATCGATTGTAAGTCATACAGCAATCACCTGCTGTTAAAAGCAGTACCAAGAGCACGGCTGCCGGAGCAGCCGTGTTCTTGTTTTAACCACTTCTGTGGGCCACCGTCTATAGACATACTGCGGCCCGGGAAGTGGTTAAAGTGGCATTAAAGTCAATGTTTTCCCCCCCCACCAATGTAAATGCCAGCACTTACCTTAACTGATGTCTCTTATCCGATCTTCTTCTTTCCTGATGTTTTCACCTGTCCCTCCAGTGCTGCGGCGGGTCATTGATCCAGCGCTGACTCCTCTGTCGTTGCTGGCACTTCCTGTCCCACGGTGTCTGCATGAGGGTGCACGCGTCCATAGACTTACCTTGTGTCTCTCCTCGTCTCCCGGCCGAAAATCCGAACTGCGCATGCGCCCGTCCCAAGATGCTCTGCGGCCGCCTGAGTAGTTTCGAATTTTCGGACGGGAACGCGCGGCAAAGACGGGGTAAGTTTAAACCGTGTTAAAGTGGGGTTTTTTTTCAACTTTTTGCATATTTCTACTGCTTGCTACCCTCATATATATGCAAAAAAGCCAGAGGGTTTAATAACCCTTTAATACTCACCTGATCCCTGTAACGACCGACAAGCGCAGCGTCCCGACACTCATGCTGTCATTATATGCATACAGATCATGCTGGTTACTGTGTGCAGCTTCTGAGAAGATACGCTATTAGCGTAGCATGGAAGCCTGCTGCGCATTTTGCTCCCTGGACCCTGGTTGTGGGGCCGCAGCTGCTCCATCCCTCTGCCACCTTTCTGCATACTCCCGGCCAGTGGTGTAGCGAGGGGGGCGCAGGGGCGAACTGACCGTGCAGCCGTCACCGCAGCTCCCGGTCAGCCTGCCCGCATCAGACCAGGCTCTCTAATCAGCCGCCGCTCGCTCCTGAAGTGGGTCCTCTGGAGGCCCCCTGCGGGCGGCCCTCTACAGTGCCTGTTTAGGTGGCCGCTTCTGCCTGATCGGGGGGGCCTCCAGAGGACCCCCTTCAGGA